AAGCGGAACAGCCACGCATTGCAAAGATCAATGCCAATAATTAAAAAAAGATTGCATTTTTCCCCGATTTGATGATCCCCCGATCAGATTTGATTTTCTAATTACGAGCGAGAACCTTGCATTTTTGTTGTATTATCAAGCAATTAACTCGCGCGTCTGTCCGTTCGAACTTCCGTGCGTGTCAAACTCGCTTACGATCTTCCAAGACCAAGTTCGCGTGATACGTAGCGTAATTTAACGACGCGCGATTGTTAAGCAAAATATAAGAAATTAGCGGTCGATGAACATAATGTGTCTCTTCATGTATTCCCGGTAATTACAGCAAAATACTTCTCAGCGGGACACAAACAATTACGTAAACGAGCGTCGTGTATAATCGAAGATAGTGCTACTCTCGAGAGTAGTGCTTCCTGCAGCTCTTGAATAAGAGATACATTCGTACGCAGAATTTGTAATTTAAAATGCGAATTTTTTTTCCCAGAGAGATACCGCAATGCAATATCAATATGCCTGCAAGTTTAATTAAAATGCAAAAATATTTGGGAGGAATATAGATTGCATAATGAAACATCTTCTCCTGACGTAACTTTGAGTGCAACACATCATCGTTTGCGTATACGTAAAGTACATAAAGCAGCTCGATAGCGTAATCAAAAATGCAAATGAAGGACAGCAATGTTCCGAGAGAAACGAAGAAAATTAATCAGCAACATCATCTAACGGAGTTATCAATTCTTCCCGGAAACTGTGTGTCCGGTGTGCAACTAACCGGACAACAAACAGATTTCACTTCTGTTTGTAATCACGGTCCTCCTATCCATAATTATTACGCATAAACGAAGAATTTTTGTCTTCAAAGACAAATAAAATTACAAATATCTTTTAACTTAGTTATATATACATATAATTATATACAATTATAGCTATATTACATATTTATACACTTATATAAAATTAGATTTAAAAATTTTGTAAATAACAATTACATCGTTTACATTTGATAAAAAAAACTATCGGAACAATAAATTTTCACAAAAAATTCTCAAAAATTGTAAAATTGACTCTGATTTATACAAAATTTGGTTTATTAATGTCTTCAAGGGTCGCTGATTACGACTTTGTTAAATGCAAAACAAAAACATGGTAAACTTAATATAGCGAGAAACATAACAAGAATAATTTATTAAATTTTGTTGAATATTAACATACATAGAAATTGTAATTGTAAATCCATTTCTATATATGTATAAAAACATGAACATTTATTTACAACAATTCTCACATATTAATCACGATTTATATATAATTCATTGTTATTAAAATTATTTATTTTTGACACCAAAGATCTTTTTATCGTTTCTGATAGAAAGTGCTTGATTTTTTTTTATTGGTAATTTGCTTTAACTGGTGATATAAGAATGTTATAACTGTAACTAACGGTAATTAATTAAATACATCTTTTCAATGTTTTTTCTCAAACATATTTTCTCGCAAAATTTTTTTTTTTCACGATATTCTTTAATATCTTTATTTTGGGATCATTGCTCGATTGGAAGCAACGAAGAGGCGATTATTATTTGAAAATTGTCTGTATAAAAGTTTATATAATGAGAGGTCGGCACATAATACAATACGCACTTGAAAAAACATATCCATACGTGGATAAATTTTAAATTTTCTTTAAGTTAGTGGCATAAGACGCTTTTTTGCTGGATTAATGTGAGTTCCTATGTTGGTTGCTCTACTGGATTTTCGCGATAGATTAAGTGTTATTTTTCTTTCGCGCGATCCTGTGCTGGTTCATTGCTAGAGCCAATCGGGGCGTCTTAGATCACGTGATTATTGTGATAATCTAAAGTTGCGTTCTGATTAGCTCTCGCAACAAATCAGCACAGAAACATGCAAGCAATCTAGCAAGCAAAACGGCATCGAATAAGGCTGGCTTAAAAAGATACTGAAGCGTTGAGTTCGGCAGAGCCGCGCTTATCCTGCCACGCAAGTTTCATATATACAGGATGTTCCAGAATTGGTGTAACATCTCTTGTAGGCAGGTAGAAGAAGTAAAACTGAGTCGAAAAGTATCTTATACTATTTTGCGAGATTCGCAATAGTTACTGAGATCTTAATTAACATAGATCCGCGAATAAGCATGCGTCAGGCTGTCTCACGCGCGTAAGACAGCCCGACGCGCTTCGCTCGCTCACGGTGTTACTCGTAGCAACGTATGGGAGGAGGTAATGTAACAGTATACTATACATATACATAATAAGTGGTAACCGCGGGAAGCGTGCCGGGCTATCTTATGCGCGTGAGACAGCCCGATGCCTATTCGCGGATCTTTGTTAATTAAGATCTCGGTAATTATTGCGAATCTCGCAAAATAGCATAGGACTTTTCGACTTACAATTAGTTTTACTCCTTAAACCTGCCTACAAGAGATGTTACATCAATTCTGGGACATTCTGTATAAGATAAATGGTGCTCGAATTTCGGGCACTGCACTCGTAAACAGGCAAAAGTAAAAAGAGTCAGTCAGTCGTTTTTCAAAAGCTGAAAAGATTGGCGACAACTCGGTTCTGCTCGGCCGGCTTGATATTATATCTTTAGTTATTTGTAACCATCGTACTAGAACACCCGTTTTATTCATGTATCTTACACATCACAAATATGTCATCTAGATTACNTAGGAATATTATGTATGCGGTACATAACAATGTTAGATGTAAGTCGTAAGGATGTCATAATTATGAAACATTGCCATATATTCACAAAAATAATCCAGGATATATATTATTACCATTTTGCAGATATTCATTTTTGAGGATGATCATAATATAATGTTAATATCAATTTAACATCAACAAATTTATGTCCATAAAATATCACAATTATCATATCCCACATAGCACGTAATATTACTAAAATATCACAGAGTAATATTGCACTATACCAGTAATATTAAATATTATAATATAATACTACGATAATATTATCGATATATTACATTTATATATAACATTGAAATATTGCGATAATATTGTATTGCATCCCAAGTAGCAAGAATAGATATCGCAGTAATATAAATATGTTTTTAAATATTGTATCTTATAAACGTTAAAGATATCATTTAACGTCATTTACTATTTGGCACGTGGCATACATCGCAATAGTATTTTATATATAATATAGTACATATGTTTTGCTACGTTGTGTTGCAAAATCTCTACAACTTTTGTTTTAAACATAAACGCTTTGTTTTCAAAATGTATTATATCAACAAAAAACACTTTGAGTGTATACCATTTTCACTATATAATTATTGTTATATAACAAAAATGATACATCTAAATGTATATGCATATTTTTATATATTATTTGCTATAAATTTATTAAGAATTGACTATAAAAATCAGTATATGTTAACAAAAAATATGTTTGCGTTGTAAAATTGTACTTTAAATTATATTTAATAATAATAAGAAGAAGAAGAAAAATATTTTTATCCATTGTTGCAGGTACATTGCACTGCAATATTTTTAATAAAGTAATAATTTAAATAAATAATAAATAAAATATGTAGAATAGCTTGAGAATAAGCAGATAAAAAAAATTACAATTTAGTAAGGAACAAGTGGTCTCGCGGACTGAGTGCAGGAGCTGTGAATATGGAGGTCTCGAGTTTAAATCCCACCATCATCTCAGGATTTGTTTTGGGTCACGGTACCTTTCATCGAGTTAATCAGTTGATTAACAAACTGAATCAAGGCCTCCAAAGATTAATTCAAGTGAAATCTCCAATTACTTTCTCCTCTTACAAGGCCGTTGGTTTTTTTTATATACATATCATCATAATATTACTGCGATGCATTTTGGCGGACATTTTGATATTAATGTGATATTACATTAATATTACGGTAATATTTTTACTATATTAGAATATTGTAGTTTAAAAACGATATTACTGTGTGATATCGCAGTAATATTACGTGCTATGTGGAGTGTTATGTAAATCTTCGGTAATTATCATTTATAAGACATTTATAAGACACAACTGAGAAACTTGGAAACTGACATTTAACTCTCCACGTGCTCTATTATAACCTTGCAAGTAATGTAATAGCGACACATAGGAAACAAATGTTAAATAGTTATAACATTATTGTGACATAAAAGTTCTAATAGGGCAGTGAAATATATGTGTATGTTTTTTGGTCAAAGCCCGAAGCACGGCCAGTCCTAGATTGACTGGTCAATGTGTGGAATCGAACGTCTTGATCAAAGTCCGAAATAATTTTTCATCTTTTCAATATACGCTACTATATATGCAATGACATAACTTCTTTAGATGTTGAATCAATGGCTGTCAGTTGTAAAGACACTAAGCAAAATTTATAAAGATATTGGGCATCATCAAAGATATTGGCATTTTCTACAAGCTCTTGTTCCAAAAAGTAAATTTTATCACACGTCAATAGACATCCCTTACGAAAAAGAACTACTGCCGATTACATATAAATAAAGTCAATAATATAAATATTACTGACAATGACATAAGAATATTATTAGGTATTAAAGAAATCACTGAGAATATTACACTGGCAATTACACAGAATGCCAGTAATTTTTTCGTACCACTGTCGCAATATATTACTGCATGTAGTTGTTTTTTGTAAGGGATTATATGACGAATTATGCTCATTTTGCCACAAAAATGTTTACAATCAGAGCGATAAAACTTTTTTTTTTTTTGTTAATGGCCTTGAACTTTCATGTATATTTTTTGATCAAATCAACTTGTGCTGCCATCTCTACATAAAGCTCCGAGAAAATGCGACCTGAAAACTCATATGATGTCAAAACTCAGTCGGTAATCGTATCAATGTGTTACCGGCGTTATGTTGTACCCACCTATGGTAATCACATTTAATTGATATTTCTGAGGTGTCGCGTTACAGATGGCGTTCGAAACGTTGGTAACAAATTTTCCATGAGTCTTTAACGTCGCAGTCGCTCAATTGAACGAACGTGTTGTAGTCGTCAGTCTGCTGGAGCGCAGAACGCATTCGAATTGAGGTTGAGGGTCAGTCAGAAGCGCGACAACGCGCAATTTCTTATTATGGCAGGGCAAGGTCGCGCAAATTTTCTTGCGCTTCTCTATCTCGCCTGTGTGATCGTGCAGACGGTACGGTCAAATCCAGTGAATATCCCGGTGAATCGAGTGCCACTGACGTTATGGAAAAAGGCGTGGACAGCTTTGAACGAGCATTCACCGACACATCACCTGTATGCGCAAGGCGAACTGATTAACGCACAGGAATTGGTAAGTTACGCCCCCGTACAATTGCGAGATATTTTTGTAAAAAGAAGTGACATTGTGGGAAAATGATATGTTGTATTGTGTCTGAGACACAATATCACGTGTTTCACTTTTGTTTTCGAAGAAAGATGATGATGAAAAAAGCGAATATATAGATGCGTATGATTTCCTTTGTTTGGTGACACATGACTGTCAACAGCAAGTTTGTTCGCAAGTGTCAGCAGCAAGCAGGATTTTGCTTGTAAATTATTGATGAGTCACAAATTACACTGTACAGTATTGTATAGCAAAAATATTAACAAGATATAAGATATGTTTCGCTGCAAGATAAAAAAACTTTAAGAGTAATGTATATATTGATAACTTCTTGAGATAAAACTAAGAAAGATTCTGATAAAGTCTTATATTTATATCTGAGTAATATAGGTATTTGATAAGTTCTGAAGAGATGAAAAGAAATTCTTGTGTGTTGAAGATAAACAGATTATTAAGGATATTGTCAAAACAATATATAGAATAAATTTATAATAATTATGCAGAGTGGAGTTTTCTATAATATAAAATTATTTTTTAATAAAATGTATATAGAGAGAATATAAGAAAAAAAAGACTAATAATAAAAAATATAAAAAAATAAACTTTATAGTAATTTTATAATGATAAATTACATTAACAATTTTGTTTTGTGAAAAGAAAATTTTGATAAATGTTTATTTTTAAATTTAAAAAAGGTTTTATTTAAAAAATTAACTTTTTAATTTTTTAAGGAATACTTAAAAAGCAAATTTAATTGAAGCTGTGTAAAAGAATTTATATACATACTTTACTATAAGGAGATTATTACTTGTCAGTATGCAAAGTAATGTATTTCTCTGTTGCAACATACATGCAACATCAATTTACATGTTCAGTCTACTACGCATGCATTTTGAGTCGATGATAAATTGAGATAATAATGTTCTGGGTTATCAGGCCAAGTTGTACTACTGTAAAAATATGCTAAAAACTGTTTCTACGCAGCAGATCATCTTTGGTTTTATTAAATATATTAAGCGCTGTTCCTTATATTTTACATTACAGAATTATTACTATATAATTGGTTTACATATTTATTCATTATTAATGTATTTATTAAATTGTTTTAATTAATAATATCATTATATATGTATTTATATTGAAACTGAGAGTAAAAAATTGACTGATATAATTGATTAGGATTAGTTTATAATTTATTTTTCATAAATATTTTTAATTAATATTACAGGAGGAGCCACCTTACAAGGTATACAAGTTTACATATAACTTGAATCCGATATGTGGGACGGAATCCTGTCCCAGAGAAGCATGTACAATTGATCTGAAGCAAGATGAGCATGGAGACATAGAGACATTGAATGACTCTATTCAGTGTATGTACTACTATCCAGCTGATACGCAAAATGACATGTCATTGGAGCAGCAGAATTATCAGGAGCAAGATGATATTCAGGTCACTCAAGAAAGTATGGCGGAACAGACAACAAGCAATCGAAGTGTCAAGCTGGATCACGAGATTCAGGAGACAAATGATGATGATGGCAGATTATTCATCGCTTTGCGCGCTTCCAGCAATACGTATTGTCCAGGCTGTCCGTATGAGTTAAATCCGAGCCAACCTAGTCTCGTTGTCTTCGGTGCACAAGCAGTTAGATCAATGGATGAGCTGACCTCAAGTGATTACAAACACAAACTGATAAGCATCTTGAGAGTCACCCGTTCCGTACCAGTTTCGTCGAATGTAATACAATATCAGGTGCTAGTATTGATAGGCGAATCTGAGTGTTCGAAAAATTCACTGGAACAAGAGCAGGAATGTCCATTGCGAACAAACGGTCCACAAAGTTTATGCTTGGTCACGTTCGAGCAACAGCCTTGGAGACGAGAGTCTCTTAGAATTACCAAAAATAACTGCACGGATTCAGAAAATACTTTCAGTACCAGTTATCAACCCCAATTGGATTTGGAGAGCCAATCTCCAGTAACGGCCAAGTACAATGGGCAACCGCCTCTAACTGAGACTGATGCCTATGAAGGCTTGAAAGACATATTGGATAATTACACCTATGTGCCTTCGACTGTGCCGTCGAAAGAGCCAGAAGAAGCTGCGGTAACGGAATCTACGATCATAAAGGTGGTTTTGAATAGAAGCGAAGACGAAAAAATCACAGGTTTTACAGATAAAGCGAAAGAATTCAACGAGTTTCTGAAGAATTTTGATCTACCTGTTAAGGTGGAAGAAGTCACGCCAGATATCCGCGAACCCGTAAAAGAAGAAAAGTTTCATCAAAAAAAAGTTTCTCTGCCAGAGTTTCAAATCGGGAAAACGAATAATGATGGAGGTGAGATTAACAGAAAAAAACGATCAGCGAGGCAGACAAGACAATTAGGTTCAGTTACGCTAACATCTGTAGACGATCCAGAGATTCAGGAGTTTGCTGGAAAAGCATTGCGTAAAGTTTCTCAGGAATCAGATGGTCCGAACGAGCCGCTTCTCATCGAGATTACCGAGGCTAGTGTTCAGATAGTCTCTGGGAAGATCTATAAGATTAAAGCCAAGCTAGGTACCAGTAATTGTCCGAAAGGTACCAATGACAATTGCCAGTTGCTGACCGAAAGCGAGGTGAAGGAATGTTTGATAACAGTATGGTCACGACCGTGGCTCGATCATGGTTTCCCTTCGATTAAGGTTCAATGTCCACCATCAGCTGGCCCGAGACGTCGAAAACGATCTCTACGCGGAGTCAAGTACAATCAGAAGATGCTGCAGATCGCTGAAGATCTGAGAACCGAGAATCTGTTTGTTGACTTCATGGCAACTTACAATCGCACATATGCTACGCCAGAAGAAAGAGATCTGCGACTTCGGATATTCCGTCATAATCTCGAGATCATTCGGTTGTTGCGTAAGAACGAGCAAGGGACCGGACGCTATGGCATCAACATGTTCGCCGATGTATCGCGCGAAGAATTCCGAGCGCGTTATCTCGGTCTGCGACCGGATCTTAAATCGGAGAACAACATTCCTCTGCACCAGGCCGAAATTCCAGACGTTGACATTCCGCCTAGTTTCGACTGGCGACAGAAGGGCGCTGTGACTTCGGTAAAAGATCAGGGCATGTGCGGCTCGTGTTGGGCGTTTTCGGTAACTGGCAATGTCGAGGGCCAGTATGCGATCAAGCATGGCCAGCTGTTGTCGCTGTCCGAGCAAGAGCTGGTCGACTGCGATGACTTGGATGAGGGTTGCAACGGCGGTCTGCCGGACAACGCGTACAGAGCCATTGAGAAGTTGGGCGGTCTCGAATTAGAATCGGATTATCCATACGATGCGGAAGATGAAAAGTGTCACTTCAAAAAGAGTTTGGCTAAGGTTCAGCTAGCCTCAGCCGTTAATATCACTTCGAATGAGACAAAACTGGCACAGTGGCTAGTGGAGAACGGTCCTATCTCTATCGGCATCAACGCCAACGCTATGCAATTTTATGTTGGCGGTGTTTCGCATCCCTTAAGATTTCTCTGCAATCCCAAAAATCTTGATCACGGTGTACTGATCGTTGGATACGGCACAAGTAGTACGTATTTGTTTCTTAAGAATATTTAAATTGTAAGACTAAAATAATTTCGAAATATTTGTTTTCTATAAAAACTTGTTTCTGCAAAAAACTAATTTTGATTCTGCTAAATATAGCTTTATTTATACTTTTTTTTTTTTAGATTATCCGCTCTTCCACAGAAAATTACCATATTGGATCATCAAGAACAGTTGGGGAAAACGTTGGGGCGAGCAAGGATACTACAGAGTTTATCGCGGCGATGGCACTTGCGGATTAAATACAATGGCCACAAGCGCTATGGTTGTTTAATGCCGTTGATTACATGAATAAGCTTTCCATGACAGTTAACTTATATTCGTTCTATACGAAGTTATACATTAAATATATATATATATATGTATATATATATATATATATAAAGATATCTTTTTTCTACTAACTTAACGAGTCGACTACGAAATTCATTTGCTTGTCAAGTATTTGACAAGTGACATCTTCATTGTCAATTTATGTTATGCAGTTGATCCACTCGATGATAATTTACGTTCACAAATATTTGGCAAGCGCTTGAATTATCTGAAAATAGTTTAGTATATACATTATGCGAGAGTTCGATTTTTTTAATACTTTGAGATAGAAACGATATAAATCGTTTGTGACAATCTTTATTCATCCGTTACAAAAAGTTTGTTGAATCTAAATATTCGTATATTACAACTCGCCTAAGAAATGTTTTGCGAATTTTTGCAAAAAATGTTGATGCTAGAATAAAGTAGAAAATTGTTAACTTCGCGATATTTGTTTTAATATTGCGCATGCAAAACTTAGGTTTAGGATAAACAACAAAACTCTACATCTTTTATTCGTGCATTTTTCAAAGTTTTGTTATAGAGGCAACTAATATAGATTTTATATTTTGTTACAACGGAACCGTAACTTGAAGTAGGTTCAAATAAAAATTGTGTATTCACTTTATGTTAATTCAAACCAAAGAGCGAAAGAAATCCAAGAAAGTAAATAAGACGAAGAATACAAATAAATGTTCGGTCTTACTTGAATTCAATATGAAGCGGCAACTACGCGAAACTATGTCAATTTAACGTATATATTTGAAGTCTTTTACCATGTTTTAAATAAATACATTAGAAATAAAAAGTGGCATTAATTTTTATCCGTTATTTTTGTTTTGATGATGTCAGAGGCGAGTCATGTACCAGGAATATTTTGTTACAACTTACGGCAACATTTGTACTAAAACAATAAATGTTATAAGAAAAAAATTATTTAACTCTATATAGAAAGTTTTAAATTTTAATTTTAACCAACTATACAGATACATATGTTATTAATTAGAATTAATTTGAGTACAAGTGAATAATCGTAAAATTTCGCCATTTTAGTGAGATCTGTAATTTTTCAAAAATCATAAACGCGCACGTGTGTTGTACTCCATAAAATTTATATCAAACGCTTCAACGAATACATACACAGGAACCGAGGAAACTTGTACACCAATAGCAGGATTTTACTCATTTATTTTTTTTTTTCGTAGAAAAAAAATTGATATCTTGGTCTTTGGCATTCTTTTTTTTTTATATAACAAGTAGTTTTGCTTTATGATATATTTTCTAATAATCCGTTGTTTATATTTAGCAGTATGCTCTAACAAAAAAAAAAAAAAACATCCGCTGTGTGTTCAGCGCAATTTCGCATTAAATTAAATATTCGTTTCTTTCTCATTCTTATTTGATCTGATTGTTCTTAGACACATGTACACTATACATGTCTGCTTTGCAACACATAATGCAAATGTTTAATATTACATCGGCTTAATAATATGCTAAACCTTGCTCAAATCATCAAATTTACTGGATGTATATACATGTGTTTCAGAAATATTACGGCTTTATCAAGGCGTAGATACACTTTTTATCGTAGTTAAAGCGATATAAATAATACTTGTGCGAGATCAATCCGAAGTGTTCTTAAATTGCAAATTTGAACAAAACAATTATTTTAATCGTTGTTCATATTGTTTAGTATAATATAAAATTCCAGTAATACACGGTGAGAGTAAAGTTCTGCTAACGGTACACAATTTATCCAATATGTACGATGTTATTCGTTAAAGAAAAAAATTGAATAGATTAATTTGTGACAGAATTGTATGTGCAAGTTTACGTTGCGGAGCATTTACTTTGGTGTTTATGCGTTATCTTGCTGTTGTTTCCTAATTTTATTTCTAGCGTAAACATATAAACATGTTTACTGCAGAACAACTCAGAAAGTGAGAGTGGGAAATACAAACAAGTGTGAACGTCAAAGATGATGTCTTAAATTCAAGACTTCCACGGCTGTGTTTTACGAAAATTGACACAATTCTCATGTCAAGATATCGAAATACGCTGCGGTTCATTAATATCTATTCTGAAGAGCAAAATGGAAAACTTCCCTTTTTATATCTTTTGTCGTAGAAAAGAAAGATTCTACTCTCTCTCTCTCTAAAAGATTCATTTATCGCAATGTATTTAAACAGCAATTCCGTTTGATTTCTATATATAAATCGAAATCGGTAAATAAAACAGAATGTACAATAGACACAATTAACGATAATAATCTTAACGATAGTCCCATGTGCTCTTAAGACAACTGTCATTCATATTAATAGTAATTATAAGAACCCCACTGATTATAAGGACCATAAGCTTGGGGTCCGCCTTGGCCGTACTGCCAATTTTGATAATTAGCGTAGTTAGGATCTGATGGCGGTGGATACTGCTGATAACCTTGCTGATAGCCACCTTGACCACCGTACTGTCCGCCTTGGAATTGTTGCTGCGATTGGTAGGGTCCGCTTGGACCGCTGCTGTACTGGTAAGAAGATTGCGAACCAACAGATGGTGGAGGTGGTACATTTGTCTGATCGGTCTTGACTTTTTTCGGTGGCGAAGAATCACTGTAAGTTTAATTAAACATATCAAACATTAGTTAAATATTTAATTGTGTGTAAAAAACCAAGTTTTGCATTTTTGTAATATTGTTTTAAAATTAGCAAAAGTTATTTTATATTAGCGGTATACTAACGTTTTAGTATCTTCACCCTTTGCCTTTTTTCTTTCTTTTGCTTGCTTAATGCATTTCTGGAATTGCTCGTGAGCCTTCAAAACCTGCCGAATGTCAGGACTGAAATCTTCTACAAATTCCACTTTGCGTTGCGCGAATAGTACTCTTTGTTCTAGATCAGCATGTTCTCTATCTATAAACATGTCCATATAACCTATTATTTCTTGAGTATCGACTGGTAGTCGTTGCATTGCCAAGTCTATTAATTGTAGATATAATCTTGGATTGTCCTTGTCCTTATCGGTGGCCTATAAAAAATATTACAATTGGCATATGTTAATATTTTGTGAGATATAATTAATATAACGATCAAAACGGAGAATAAAATCTTTTACTCAAACGTACCTTCATTAATACTTTGATTGCTTTGTCAACGTCATTCATAACTTTGCATAAGAATCGCGCGTATTTTACAGCAATATTATTAGCAATTGTTCTGTTTTTGCTATTGCTGATGTAGTTTTCGTATAAAACGCACGCTTTCTCCAAGTCGCCTCGACGGCGTTCCAAGTTTATTCGTCGATACGCCACTTGTAGCAAATTTGGTAGAACGTTATCTATATTTTCTAATATGGCAGCCGCTTTCTCGAAATTACCCTGACCTTCTTCGAAGATGGCCCATTGCAAATGCAAATTTGGTTTCTTTGGATGATGCACCATACAAGCCCGCGAATACACGTCTCGAATTTTTTCTGTATTATCTCCCTTCAATGACTCCAGATAGCGTACAAACTATACAGAAAAATGCAAACAGTTTTCTATGTTTGTATACAACAATACTATTTTTATTTATACTTGGTATATACTTACTCGCATCCAAAACTCGTCATAAAGTGCGCAGGCTATGAGACACCTCTCGAATAAGATGATTATTCGATTTTGATCTTTTTGTTCAATCTCAAAATCGAGGTATTCCTTCCAATTCTTCAACTGACATCTCTCCAGCGGTTTTACATGAAAGTACGGTCTCTTTATCTGTTAATCATATGTTATGCGATTATCATTGCCTTATATTTATCATTGCCTTTTTGTAAAAGTGATATATAAAGTGATCTGAATTTTTCATATTTGTTGTTCGATATACGCATGTTTGAAAAATCGTTTAATTTGGAATATACTTTTTTTTACTTACAACTGAAAACATTGCAAAAGATTGACTTCTGTATATTACAATGAATCCACATTTACTGCGCAAATAGAGGTAGTATAGAGCTACGGTGAGGAAAATGAGCTCACATTTACAGCAGTGAAACCTTTCAATGAAATTAAGAATACTCATATTTTGTGCTAAGAACTACTTAGGCCGTGTGATTGTAATAAGCATAAGTAAATTTATAGTCAAATTTTACGCACCCCTTCTTCATATGACCATCGCGCAGCTACCGCGTTGACGTTGGCCTTGTGCATTTTCCGTCTGCTACTGATGATCTTCTCGCGGATAGCGCGGGTCTCCTCATCGGTAGGCGGTACTTCGTGAGGCGGCGGTTCTTCACCAGGCGGTGCGTCATCCGCGGCAGACGTCGTAGTGGTAGTATCGTCCGCTTTCAGCAAGGCCTTTACTTCGGCGCGTAGTGCAAGGAAGTCGTCCACGCTCAGAATGCGATTCGGTAAGTTGGATGAAACAAATTCTTGAAAAGCCTCAAAATGAGAGATGTAGCCCAGAGTGGGTGTTGACAATAAACGATCGTACAAAGCTGTCACTTTGCTCAAACGTTTTCCCTCCAATTCCCATTTTATGTAGCTTTCCCAAAGACGGTCCGATCTATTTTAAAATCATTATATTTTATATTACATACTGATTGTTTTTTATCACAGTAAACATTTTTACTTTGTGAAGTATTAAAAGAGCAAGAAAGGTATTAAACCGATCGCTTATAGTAAAAAAAAAAAAAAAAAAAAAAAAACTATACAATCAATAGAAAAACAAATATTTACCTAAACTCGAGTCCACAAGCTTGTATGGCTCTTTCGTATTGTTCGCGGAGCTTCTCCTCGTCCTTTTCATAAACGGTTTTACAGTGGTTGATGTAATGAAGCCACAAGTCGACACTTAGCGAAATAGCTTTCAGACCTTGATCGAACACCTGTGGTAACGGATGTATAAACCATATTTAGAACAGCTTACAACTGGGTTGGGCTTATCGGCGGGTAGATCTTATACCTATATTTTTCTTTTAGCTTTCGTTAAGCATTAACGGTTTTTTTTTAGCAACGTATACTCACATATCGTACGCGTTGCTGTAAATAAAGAGATTTAATTAACACAGAGATTGCAGAGCATTGTGCATTCACCTTAAAGTCAGGGAGTGTTCCGAACTGGACGCCACTGTGTCTTCTGCCAATCTTTCTTGCTCCCTCTCTGGCACGTGCACGCGCGTCCTAAGTCTTTGTTTCTGACTTTGATTTAACACCCAACCCCCCGATATATCTTACATAAGAGTAAGGGTAGCGCACATATCTTATGCTTAAAGTTTTACAATACTTTCTGTAGTAAGCTATGTGTATACAAATGCTTACACTAAGTATAACACAGAGTTTATCTTCTTTTTCTTTTCTATCGTGATAAGGCGCTTCGCAAAATCGAAAAAAATAGCTATTGTCTCGCTTACGTATCCTACGTAGAGTATTTGATATATTCGATATATCGGTAAAATACGTAATATAGCATTTTTGTATATATCGCAGAATAATAATATAAGTAAATAATTAATTGATTTGTGAACGATCGTAGTTGCACAGCTGCTGCAAGGCGTGCTAGGCTGTTGGAAGGGAAAACCGTATTTATGTGCGTGCACACTGCCCACGCGTCTTCCTAACTCGAGCTATTTTCATTAGATTACGTTAATTATGATATATATTATGTAATGAGAAAGTAGCCTAATAAACATAATATACGATTGGACTCACCGTTTGGACATTTTCGGGGTTGCCCTTCTTCTTCTCGTAATCGGCGAACTTTCTCCAATAACCGTAGCAATATGGATAACGTTCCAAGAATTTGGTGTAAGCCTCGCGCGCAGCCTCTGCGTCGTTCTACAAAAAAAAAAATGACAAAAATCGATTAAGTAATCATCTTGGTAATTCAATAAATTTTTATGTCTAAATTATAGATAATATTCTCTAATTAATGTTTTACTTACTTCTTGATCAACATATTGCAAAAGGTACGTCCATCCCGTAAAGTCAGACGGATCTTCATTAACGGCTTTCCAGTATTTTTCGAGTTCAGGCAATGTTTTTTTCTTCGGCGATGCTGGTTTGGTTTCTTGCTTATCTTCCGTGTCTGTCTCACTCGACAAGGCGACTTTTTTTGTAGGTGCCTCATCGTTGTTCTCGGATGTTGGAGAACTCGGATCATATTCACCTTCTGCATTTAATTTACGTTTAGCTAAAAATACGAAAAAATATAATAACAATTATAAATAATATCGCGACTTAATAAAACTTATACAGGGTGTCCCAGAATTGCCGTACAATCTCTCGTAGGCAGATATAAGGAATAAAACTGAGTCGAAAAGTCCTGAACCATTTTTTTCTATTATTTATAATAAAGGAGTAATTATTGAGTAAATCAGGCCAATCAGCGCCGACCTTTAGTCAGGCGCACGTCAGTAAACTACGCGGAGTGCTCACACACATCAGGCGCGTGGCTCACTGACGTGCGCCTGGCTAAAGATCGGCGCTGATTGGCCTGATTTACTCAATAATTACTCCTTTATTATAAATAATAGAAAAAAATGGTTCAGGACTTTTCGACTCAGTTTTATTCCTTCTNTGATTGGCCTGATTTACTCAATAATTACTCCTTTATTATAAATAATAGAAAAAAATGGTTCAGGACTTTTCGACTCAGTTTTATTCCTTCTACCTGCCTACGAGAGATTGTACGGCAATTCTGGGACACCCTGTATACTAGTAAAAAAAAGTGCGAGACACATTATTGTAAATACACTCACTTCCACCTTCTACTTTGGTTTTCTTTTCTACTGTTTTGCTTATTGCTGCTTTTATTCCTTTCTTCTTTTTGTCACCATCTGGTGGTAATTCATCTTCCGACACAGACTCAGTTTCACCCAAATCTGCTGGAGCAGCGGCCGGCAATTCTTCATCAGAAACAGCTTCAGTTTCAGGTTCCTGCGCATTAAAAGATATATTTTTCTAATCTCCTTGATTCACATTAACTAGTTTGTGAAATGTAAAAAAAATGATATACAAAAAAAAACTTTTTTACCTTGGCCGCAGCCTCGTTTGGCAGCTCATCTTCTGATACAGCTTCTGTATCAGGCTCTGTTTTCTTCACATCATCTTCTTCTTCATTCTCAACAACTTCGGTTACTTCAATGCGTGGCAAAGAGTCGCTCTGAGACACCTCCGTGTCAGGTTCTTCTACTTTGCTTATGACTGTGTCTACAACTTCCGACATTTCTTGCTGTGAATCCTCAATTTCCATAACCTGTATTCCAGTGCCAACAGTATGGGTCATTTCCGAATCTACCTCTTCTGTTTCTAAGATCTGCTGGGTCATAGTATTGCTGTCTTCAATAACATCTTGAAAAGTGATCAACACACGTTGCTGATTTGAATCATTACTGATGTCTTGACCCTCTATCTCAATTTCGCTATGTTCAGCCAGGATTTCTACTTTATCCATGCTGCTGTCTTCTATAATTACACCTTCTGCTCTCATGTTAGAGTGTTCCTATAATCAAACCAATAGTTTCAACAATTTGTTATACATTACATTAATTAAATATTAGGAAACAATAATTGACAAAAAGATCAAGCAAGTTACATATTACTTACCATATCTTCTACATCATGCTCTATCTCATCATTTTGAGATAAACTCATTTCATGTATATTAGCATCATCAGAATCTTCTAATTCCAAGTGCAACATAGGAGTATCTTCTTCACAGCGTTGCTCAACAATAATATCTGACAATTGTTGAACTCCATTCTCAGGCATATTTTCTATCATAGTTTCTTCCAATACAGATGATTCTGCCTGTAATTGAAATTTGCAATTTTAGAAATATTTCAAGCGATAATCTCTTCTTCTCATGTATTAAATTGCCAATGCTAAAACAATGTTTGAAATTATTGTTTACTCTATATACACAGGTATATACATACAGGGTGTCCAACAATTGGTGTAACATCTCTTATAGGCAGGTAGAAAAAGTAAAACTGAGTCAAAAAGTCTTATACCATTTTGCAAAATTCGCAATAGTTACCGAAATCTTAATTACCCAACATCTGCAAATAAGCATGCATCAAGCTATCTTATCGCATGTAAGACAGCCCAATGCATGCTTATTCACGAGTCTTTGTTAATTAAGATCTTGGTAACTATTGTAAATCTCACAAAATGGTATAGGACTTTTCAACTCAGTTTTACTCCTGCTTGCCTACAAGAGATGTTACACCAATTGTCAAACATCCTGTATATATAAGGGCACACACACACATATATATATTCATTTACTATTCAAAAAACGAAGATAAAACATGTTTTTGTTTTCAAGTGATTTGAATACATCAATATAAAAAGGAAAAAATCTCAGTGTTACAAATTTGTTTTAGCACAATAGATACTGAGTAATCACACGCAAGTCACAACATCGGAGTACTTAATTAAAAAAAATATGGCCTCTACCTGCACTTCTTCAACCTCATGTATCTTTTTCGGAGTATGCATTGCTCTAGCGAGAAGCTTCTTCACAGGTGACTTTTTTGCAACTACTGCCGTTTTACGGGCCCGGCCTGATCTGGTGCGTTTCACTGCGGAGCAATTGAATATTTCTTTTTTTATGTGCACACGAGAGACGCCATGTCGGCGAAATGGCGGTTTCAAGAACTTGGACGGATTGTGCCGGGCGCGTATCGTCAACTCTTTGACGATCACAATCCGACGATACGATCGGACAGCACAATCGTCAATTGATAAAGTTTCTGTCTTACCTGGTTCAGTCACCGTCTCGGCCTCATCACCGCTTGCTGAGGACATGCTTCGCACTTTTTGATGAATAAAATCACTGAGATCTAAAGCGTAAAACCTTTCTTCAGATAGAATGGCGATATAACAACACGCAACAACTCGAATCAGGTCTACCAATGGTTGAAACTTGATGCGTTTAAGCCTATGTCACACTACGGATTAGAATTGAGATTGGATTGCAATTTGGCCACTCAGGGTGCCAGTACATGAAGCGCAGAAACGCAGAAACGCGGAACGCGGAAAATAGTAACTAAATTCCGCAAATTCATATATATAATACCAGAGAGAAACCTGAGAGCGGCCATCCTATTGTAATTTTTTACGACGGTTTCAGCCGCTGGTTTTAGCCGTATTTCCACAAAAGTGAAACTCAAAGGCCGTTCTCCATGAAACTCAAATCGCAGGTCTCGTGGAACTGATCAATCACGTTGGTCGATTAGCTGATTTGACTCTGCAATTGGTCAATTCCACGAGATCTACTACTTGCGTTTAATGTAGAACGGCCTTTGAGTTCCACTTTTGTAGAAATACGGCTAAAACCAGCGGTTGAAACCGTCGTAAGAAACTACAATGGCATGGCCGCTCTCAGGCTTCTCTCTGCTTCTATATTGCTAGTCGCGTATCTTCGCAATGAGAGGCACGAGGCCCGAGAAAGAGAGACACACGAAGTCCAAATATGGGCATAGATAGTCGAGCGTCATTATGCGCAGGCGCGTCTACTAAGCGAGTGCGAGCGAGACAAAGCATT